ATTAAGGGCCAATTTCACCAACACTAATATTATGGACCAATCGGAAAATACCTTATCGAAATGCAATTTGACAGAAGCTGTCAAAGGTCTCTGAATATTAGTGATTTCTATTGAAATATTGAATAAAATCGTGAAAATTCGACTGTATTATAAACAAGACCACTTTTTGATTCCAACATGATGCTTTTGTGCAGAGAAAACAGGACAACTTTCATGTATTTTAATATATGTTATAGGTTTACATTTAACAATCCGTTATCCTCCACAGCGAATGGGAATGCGGCAAATAATAGGTAGATTTTCTAGCTGTTAAATTTGGCAGCAGATTTGGACATTTGTTAATGCATGGCATTCTCGAATTTACCAACTTCAATATACGGAAAGTTATCATTACATACCTGTTGAATAGTGTGGATTTGTCAGTATTTTGCATGAAAATAGAATATAAAATACATTCCATGCAATTCCTCATCTTCCTTTACGTCATAATAGTAACCATTTATTAATTTATGGGTTAATGAATTTCTTCAAAGCAATAAAGACATTATGTCCTCTCCATCCTAAATCACAGATAATATGTATAATCCCTACATCTACCTGATGCATAATGCAATTACTATAAAGTATATTCAGATAAGAGATAGACCGGATGTAAACAAAAGGTTCGGGTGATTTTCACGCTAACGCCGCCGTCTCGACGTAAAACAGGAGCCCTCATTGGTCAATTCGCAATTAAATGCCTATGCCGAGCGGCAGAGCAGTCGTATCAAGGCAGAGTCACATTCAGGTTCAGACGTGTTACGTATGTCGTGTGCATCATTGCAATTTGATATTTCTTTGGACGTTTTCGTTTGTTATCTTATTAAGTTGTTGAGTTTGTCGTTGTTATTGTTATACCTTGTTATTGATTGTTATTGTTGTCAACTGCTTGCGCAAAATGCCCAGTAGTACAGATACTGCCGTTGAAGTTGTAAACTCCTGTAGTCCACCTAGGAAACGCTCTAAAAAAAGACACCTGAGTGCAGAAATGAAAGAGGTCATTTTGAATATATATAAGATCGAGCGTGAGGAGAACGAGGCATCAATCATCAAAGAAATTGTTGTGAAGGTTTCTCACAAAGTTGGGGTGTGTCGCGCATCAGTGTTTAATGTGTTAAGACAATACAAAAAAAATCACACCTTTTCTGAGCCAATGACCAGTAAACATCGCAAAAGTATTGTTAAATCATTGGATGAAGCTGATAAGCATGCGATTAGGAGGAAAGTGCACGAATTCTTCTTTAGGAATGAAATACCTACTATAGATAAAGTACTGCAGGAAGTAAATGGAGATACAACGTTGCCAAATTTCAAACAATCAACTTTCCATGCGTTACTGAAGCATTTAAATTTCAAATGGAAAAAATGGGGTCGTAATAGTTTACTACTGGATAGAGAAGAAATTGTGCTATGGAGGAGGGATTATTTAACAAAAATTGGGAAATATAGAAATCAAACAGGAAGATTTATTACCTTGATGGAACATGGGTAAACGCAGGACACACTACAAGTAAAGTATGGGTTGATGATTCTGTAACTTCATCCAGGAGGGCCTTTCTAGATGGACTGTCCACCGGATTAAAAAATCCAGCAGGTAAATACGAGTAATAGACAACAATCGGATGTTTTTCAAACCTTGGGAACAAGGTTCTAAACATTAATTCCAGGGGGCAGATAAAACATATTACAAGTAACAAAACTTTTATAACTTTCGATAAAATGCGTGGATGTTTTATTGTCATTTTCATTTGTTAGAACTTTTTTAAGGCATGTTTTTATGTGTTTTCGATATTTCAATAATTTTTTAATACAATCTTAAAATATGTCGAATACTATAAACTTAAAAAAAGTTACTAAGTTTTATATTGTGTACCGTTCCTAATATTTAATATCATTTTAATTCATACTTTAAGCTTTATAAAGTTATAATTTGTTAATATTAATATTTGCGCGTATTTCAGGTTCCTGATCATTCATTTTTTAGAGGTTTATAACTTTAAATTAAATTGTGAAGCGCTGAGTAATCATACGACGTTCAATATTCTTTCTTTCAATATGACTAAATAAGCCCAATTATAGCAATCTGATACTCATGTCTCAATGTTTTTTCGCTGAATGTGATGAAAACATTTGAAAAAGGTTCGCTTATTGAAATAAATCTACACCAGTCAGTACTTCGATTTCCATGTAAAGGGAAAAGGCTCATTATCTGCCATATTGGCAGTGAGGATGGATTTGTTGTTGACGGTCTGTGGTGCTTTGAGTCTAAGAAAACTGGAGATTACCACGAGGAAATGAATGGCGAATCGTTTGAACAGTGGTTTTCAAAAATTTTACCGAACTTAGAGGAAAACGCAGTAATTGTGTTGGATAATGCGCCTTATCATTCTCGAAGAATGGAGAAGGTCCCAACAACGGCTTCAAGGAAAGTTGATGTTCAAAATTGGCTCCGCTCGAAAAATCTCAACTTTGAAGAAGCAATGCTGAAAGTACAATTATTAAGAATTGTCAAGGATCACAAGGCGGAATATCAAAAATACGCCATTGACGAAATGGCAGCAAGTCAAAATAAAACTGTGCTCCGTTTACCTCCATACCATTGCGAGCTCAATCCCATTGAGCTCATATGGGCAGAGGTTAAAAATTATATAGCTAAGCACAATACAACTTTTAAATTTTGTGACCTCAAAGGACTTTTCAAAGAAGCACTAGAATTAATAACAGCGCAAAAATGGGAAAACTGTATTAAGCACGTGAAAGACAAAGTTGAAAAGAGAATGTGGGAACTGGTCAATATTTTAGAGGAACAAGTCGAGCCATTCATTATTGACGTTGGTGCTTCAGGCAGTAGCGATGATGAAAGCTCATCAAGCTCATCTTTCCAATAAAAGATGTCGTTCATCAAATTCGGTAAGTTATAAGTAATTATAAAGCTACTGTATTTTTTAATTAATGATTGACATTTTTGAACCCATTTTGGCAAAACCTATTCAAGAATCTACTTTCTGACAATGTTCAACCATGCACATTTTTTTACGTTTTGAACGTTTTAATTGGGTTACATATTTACCTAGAAATCAAAAAATATACTAATCAATATTCTAAAAGCAATTTTAAGAGATATACGATTATTTTTAATTTAGGCTAATTTAAACGCCATTTTGAGATTATATTCGACTGTATTTCACCAAACATCAGACGGCATCCGAAGCTGGAAATCGAAGCGAAAATTTTGAAACCCTTATGTATATTTACATCATTCTTTATTTCTTACCCCACCGCCACATGATCCTGTATCCATCACCAATCGTATACACATCGAATTGTGCTAATTTACTACAAAGTTACGCAAAGCAGCATCTACTATCTAAAATATGTACTGCGTGACTCTTAATACGTCCCTGCCGAATGTTACAGCGTTCGATGATCACGTGGTCTTGTTTATGTCCGGTCTATCTCTTATCTGAATATACTGTAGACATAGACAAAAAATTATGAAAACTATTTCACAAATAATGTCTTTTATGTCCAAAAATCATAAAAACTAGTAATGTTTATTGTTTGTCTTTTTGACTGGCGGGGATATCTATCTGTCACTCGCAGGGTTGCCAAGTCTAACGACGATCATGTCCAGTGGTGGAGGGTGCGAAATGAATCTTTTACATTTGGTGGTTTTGAATTTTTTTCGTAAAAATTTACTGGGTATCATGATTATAAGCATCTTTGGTAGATTGTTCGATCCGGAATAGGATAGATCTCCTATTTATGAAAATATATCATCTAACCGTTGCAATCAGTGCACAAACACTGTAACATGATTTATAGCATAACCCGCTGCCTTATCAATACAAATTTAACATACAGGTCGCCTAGCCGTGGGGATGCAGTGGTCGGGATGAATATCACGGCAGCAACTGATGATTTGGGCATGTCTGGTAACAACGTATGAAGTGAAACTGGATAACTTCACAAATTTGACGATTTTGTACAATTTCTTTGAAAATGATGAAAGATATGTCTGATTTGGCAGGGTAATGTCGCAGCCAAATGGCAGTCACTCTGTCTGACACAGTCCGGATCGAAAGATGATGATACTCGTGAAATGTATTGATACTTCTAAATATATGATCGTATCGAACATCCCTACTGTCAAGATGTATAACCCAAGGTACCGACGGAGCTACTTTGCGGCGTCATGGAAATAATTTTAAATTTTCATTTGCATTTTTTCAAGTGTTGTGCAATGATTTTTGGGAAAAATGTCACGAATAGTCTTATAAAGCATAGTAGAGTATATTTCAACAGTTGGCGGAACTAACTCCACTGGGACCAGGAGGGTGAAGCGGGATATTAATGCATAATCTGGCAACCCTGTCGCACCCTCACAAAATTGCCGCTGACAACCACATAAGTCACCGTGTTGTCACTAGCATGGAATTAAACCTTCAAGAGTATATGTTTTGTGACTGGTACCAAGAGTTGACAGATCCCACACATGTGTCACTCCTTGAAATGCAATAATCAGCTGTATTCAAATGATGTCTAATATAAATATAACCTAGAATGTGTACTCGTGAAAAAAGAAAAATTTGTATTTTTTTTTGTAGGTTTTATAGGTTTCCTGGTAACTTTAAGGCATATGTTTGGGAATTTCTTAATCGCTGTGAATATAGTGTGGATGTTTGTTCAGTTCCTGAACAACGAAAAATATTCAACGTTATGGATGTATGGATATCAAAGAACCTGAATGGTTTTGTGGGAATATCAATCTAAGGTGCCATGATGGTTCTGATGAACGGCAAGTATATGAATGAATGTTTGGAAACGAGGAATATCTTTTGGTAGAGCCTGTCATCAAGTAGGTGCTTAATGGCTAACTGCAAGAGGTTTATAGGAAAAAATACCCAGTATCGCATATCAATTGAAGAAAATAATATAAATATGAATAAAAAATCAACAGTAGCAATTAAAACATGAATTTTATTCAAAAATCCAACATTTCTTTAAATTTTGACTGAATTATATGTAATTTCTTAATATTCAATAAGCTGGTGATGTTTCAATGACAAGCTGTCATCTCATACTTTGACAGTATTTTGTTTTGCTAAACTTTGTTGATTGGAACTTGAAGCTCATTGGCCCTAAATCTTGCAAACTGCTAAAGCTATTTTGGTTAAGGAAGTATTGCACGTTGACTGAACCACTCAATGACAAATTTCAAGGAAATGTAACCTCTTTAAAAAATGTGTAACAGTCAAAAATATCTGAGAGAGACTGGTAATTGAGACCTGACGTAATGATTGACAATAACAATAGGTTTTATTTCAGTCGACAATAACTTTTGACGCTTTACTTCACACTTTGATCTTCTGTGGAATCTGATTTAACGCCTATCTCCACTATTCGTGACGTATGGACCTGCATCCTCATCCGTCTCATCTCCGCTGTCACCTTCCTGCTCATTTAGATACGTGAATTTGACGTTCTTCCAATGCTCTTTGCAATCGCATATCTGTTAACGATGAATAATTTACTAAAGTATCGTTGTGTTGCTTCTGCTACCGATGTGCCAATTGACACTTTGGTTATTGATATACTAATACTGGCACGCCTTCCTTCATCTTGTACTGAGCTGACAACCAGCCTGGCAGGAGAGCCCTTACACCGCCTTTAATAATATGGGGTTGTCCAAAACGGACCCAGGAAAGTAAACGCATATTAAAACAAGAAAGATTGATATTCAAATGAAGTTGGGTACTTTATTTTGAGGGTTCATTTATACCATTTATGTATGAAAAATAATATCGCTCAAATGTTCACCACGACTGGATTTACAGACGTCCACGCGATGGTCGAAATTTTCAATGACATTTTGCAACATGGTCGGTTCTATGGCATTTATCTCGGCAATGATGTTGTTTTTGAGTTCTTGGAGGGTGGCTGGTTTGTTGTCGTAGACTTTGCTTTTCGAATATCCCCATAAAAAGAAGTCCAAGGGAGTCAAATCGCACGATCTTGGTGGCCATGGCACATATCTTCTGCGCGAAATCACTCGATGACTGAAGAAGGACTGCAATCGATGGATATTGACGTTGGTTGTGTGGCATGTTGCACCGTCTTGTTGGAAATAAACATCGTCCATATCCATTCCTTCAAGTTGCGGCAAAAAATAGTCCTCTATCATCACCTGATATCGCTCAGAATTGACGGTAACGGCGTCCCCGGCCGCATTTTCGAAAAAGTAAGGTCCGACGATGCCTTTTGACCACAATGCACACCACACAGTCACTTTTTGAGGATGCATCGGCTGCTCTTGATACTCACGGGGATTTTCGTTCGCCCAGATGCGGCAGTTTAGCTTGTTTACCGTCCCATTCAAAGTGAAATGCGCTTCGTCGCTGAACATGATTTTTGATGAAAAATTGGCATCAATTTGGCGGTGTTCAAGGAGCCAATCTGCGAACGTTCGGCGCGAAAAATGGTCGGCCCGACGCAGCTCTTGCGTCAGTTGGATCTTGTAGGCATGTACATTCAAATCCTTGTGGAGAATGCGGAGCAAACTGGTTCTCGAAATGCCCAATTCTTGGGATCGACGCGTTGTTGATTGTTTCGGATCGTCTCTCACACTCTCCTTCACAACAGCAATATTTTCCGGCAGATTTGCCACAGAATCTGTTGCCTCGAATTTACGCACCGGACGACCGATGGTTGTTTCGTTTGGGCGGTTGTTGCGACCGAAATGTTCACGAAGCGCGCGAAACGTGTTTCTTATTTTTGCACCATTTTTGTAGTGCTCTTGAATAACTTTAATGCGGTCTTCAATCGAATACGACTCCATAGCGATCAATGGTAAACATTCAACTAACAAAATGACATGTCTGTGACAGAAAACAAAGATGGCGTCTATGTCGAATTGACGTTTACTTTCCTGCGTCCCTATTGGACAACCGCTTTATTTTGAAATTAATTGTTCCTCGGCTCTTGAATCATCTAATTTGTTTTATTTCTTTTGATACGAAAACAGTGCACTCTAGGAAAAAAAACCAAGATATTTGTAACAAATTGAAGGTGAAATTCAAAAAAATGCGCGTTTCGAAAAAAAAGCCAGTGGCGAACTCTTTTTATTTGGAAAAATATTTTGGATTTTGAATGTGGACAGTACTTAGGTAAATCCATATACCATCTAGTATATTCCAGTTAACGGTTGAAGATATTAAACTTTTTTATTATTTTTATCTTTTTAATGAACCATCGATCAAAGAATGTAACATACAAGACCCCCCTTTAAATGCGGTCCTGTGTATGATGTTTCATTTTCGATCACGAATTGTGAATCACCCTGTATACCCGAAATGCACGATAACTCGCTACAGCGGTGTCGCTGTGGGTACTGCCGTACAGATGTGGGAGAGACAACGCCGCCAAATGGACTGCAAGGAAACTATCAGTATGGCCGTGAAAGAATGTCCTAATTATATAGGCCTATTTGACTCGCTTGGTCTATTTAATTTCTCTTTTGTACATGTTCCTAACCGAGTTTTTTCTCAGAGGATTCGATTTTCACTGAACTGAATCATAATAATCCTATTGTCTTTGCTGGTATTTCAACAGAAGCGCCTTAATTGATTTGTAGCTTCATTTTCCAAGATTCCATAAATTCTAAATAACGTGTTCACCTTCCAAGAAGGTACATTCTGCGAGTGTAGGAAGTAGCCGTTATATTTATATAAAATCATAGCGTATAACCGCAGCAATTCATTCTGGGTAAGCGCATTTAGTCTGTGGAGACCAGCACCAGCCACAACTTTTTCACATTTATAAAATTAGAGATGTGAAATGGGGCGAGATGCGTCAGGGATAACTGGGATGGACGTCGGGTTATACATATCTGTTTTGTGAAGTTGGGACGTTTTTATTCACTTTTATTGTAGACTACGACTGCATACCGAATTTAATCTACCTGGTTCTGGAAGTAACTCGTCAGGTTACTGTGATGAGGTGACAAGGTGAAAAAGAGTAGAAAACTGCACGAAAAGTTGCTACGACCCATGCCTTGTACCGTATCTATAGAATACTATACAAAGTGACAAATAAATCCGAACACCCAGTTTAAATGGTTTTATTTTAATAAAAGTTGGTGAAATTTGTATAAGTACTTATTGAAGCATAATAAGTAAATGATAAAAATTTCAAAATGATTGCACTGCTTTAAAGCCCTTTGACCTTTAATAATGTGTGGATGCACCCTGATGTGCTACGCATTCTCCAACGCGCCTAGGCATGCTTCTGATTAGTGGTCAATGTCCTCCTGTGGTATCTCATTCCAGGCAACCACAGTTTCCTCTCGAAGTGCTTCTAGAGTCTGAGGAGGACGTTGCAAATTGAGAAATCTCCTACCCATCATATCCCACACGTGCTCAATTGGGGATAAGTCGGGAGATCTTGGTGGACATGGTAACCATGTGACATCATTTTGTTGAAAGAAGTCTATTGTGACTCTTGCAACATGTGGTCGGGCATTATCTTGTTGGAAAGTTGGATCTGCCAGGGTGTCACGATAGGGTAAAAGATGGGGTTCTAGAACCTCGTGGATATAACGCTGCGCGTTCATGTTACCTCTGATGAAGATTAAAGGTGACCTGGAACCATAAGCTATAGCACCCCAAACCATAACTCCAACAGTGTGATGAACATGTCTTTCAACAAAAACCTGTGGATTCCTCCTTTCACCACGTCGCCTTTTAACCCTGGCACGACGATCGTGCATGCCTAAACAAAATCGAGACTCGTCACTAAAGACAATACTGTTCCATTCCTGATCCCAGAGTGACCGTTGTCTGCACCACTCAAGGCGATTACGTCGGTGTTCTCGAGTTAAAGGGAGGACCCAGTGTGGCCGGTATGAAAACAAGCCAAAACTTCTCATTCGTCGGTAAACACTTCGCATGCCAATAGGTCTTCCGTGTTCTTCAAAACATTCATTTGCAATGGACCTGGTAGTGGAGAAACGGTCCCTTAAGGCCAATAATCTTAGGCGTCGATCTTCACGGTCTGTTGTTCTACGGCGGCGTCCAGTGCCCCTTGCTCTTTGCGTACGGCCTTCTCGAAGCCATGCCTGACAACACCTAACCACAGTGTCTACACTTCTTTGCACTCTAACTGCAATTGCCCGAAAAGAAGGTCTAGCTTCCCGAAGTTTTACTATACGACCCCTATCAAACTCACTAAGTTGACGAAATCGTACATGTCTCCGTACTCTAGGCATCGTAACCGATCGTAAAGGATGTCAAGAACCAAAATCCGCCAACGTTGATTCTTTACTGCTGCTGAAATATTCATTTTTAGAGCGTTAGTGAATTAAAAGAAAGCAGTATAAAAACCGGAATGTCCAACTGATAAGGCTGAAAATTTTTTCACTTGTTATTTACTGTAAGATAAATACATTCACCAACTTTTATTAAAATAAAACCATTTAAACGGGGTGTTCGGATTTATATGTCACTTAGTATAACTTGGAAAGCACTGCTCGGATCTGGATGAAATTTTTGCACGCAAATACTACTACATCAAGGAAAAAATAGAAACTGATAGAGCTAGGGCCATCATTTATAAAAAAAATTGTAGGAGCTGAAAATCAGAGGTTTGGGGCTGTAGGAGTTGGGGGTAACACCATGGAAGAGAGCTAAAATAAGCAACATTGGTCCATATATCAGTAGAAAACGATCATGGTAATATGGGAGAGTTTCTGGATCATCTGTTGAGAAATTGCTATTGATCAATCAAATAAGCCTTATCCAAGGTTGAGGAAGAGTGGCATCGAGGAACATGGGTCTCACCTGTCTATTGTACTTCCCATATAGCTCATTTTTCTCTTTCTCTAACAACATTCTCTCTTCACTTATTTTTTGCTTCAACGTAGCAATGTACTTCTTCATATCCATGATACTGTTCTTCAGAGTGACGGCATAAGCAGCTTCTGCCTCCGATATCTTCGACTGATATCGGATATCACCAGTCGGCTCCCCATTTGAGTATGTATCCATTTTTAAGCGTTCACAGGAATTTTGACATAGAATTTACTAAATCGAGCTGTCGATAGTTGTCAAAAGTGTCAAAAACAGTCGTGAAGGATACAGCTTAGGTTATACTAGGAAAAAGCTGCATTCTTTGGAGCATATTTACATGCCGCTGAGAAACTTGTAAAAATGACATGACTTAGTGAGATAGTGAGAAAACTGAAAATTAGACAAGTTAGTTCCCTACAATTGGTTGATATTATTGTCTACTGGTTTTTCGTTTTCTCAAATTTATTTTCCAACATTACGAACTCCCAGTCATTTTAGTCCTACGAGATTTTGGGGAGAAATTTGTACTATATTAATACTTTTAGGAAAAAGGTCCAGGGAATTATATTTCTTCGTAAAGAAACTGGATTTATGTAATGTATATTAAGTGACTCAGTTTAAATGGTTTTATTTTAATAAAAGTTGGTGAATGTATTTATCTTACTGTAAGTAACAAGTGAAAAAATTTCCAGCCTTACCAGTTGGACATTCCGGTTTTTTACTGATTTTTTTTAATTCACTAACGCTCTAAAAATGAATATTTCAGCCGCAGTAAAGAATCAACGTTGGCGGATTTTGGTTCTTGACATCCTTTACGATCGGTTACGATGCCTAGAGTACGGAGACCTGTACGATATCGTCAACTTAGTGAGTTCGATAGGGGCCGTATATTGGGACTTCGGGAAGCTGGACTTTCTTTTCGGGCAATTGCAGTTAGAGTGCAAAGAAGTGTAGACACTGTGGTTAGGTGTTGTCAGGCATGGCTTCGAGAAGGCCGTACGCAAAGAGCAAGGGGCACTGGACGCCGCCGTAGAACAACAGACCGTGAAGATCGCCGCCTAAGATTATTGGCCTTAAGGGACCGTTTCTCCACTACCAGGTCCATTGCAAATGAATGGTTTGCAGAACACGGAAGACCTATTGGCATGCCAAGTGTTTACCGACGAATGAGAAGTTTTGGCTTGTTTTCATACCGGCCACACTGGGTCCTCTCTTTAACTCGAGAACACCGACGTAATCGCCTTGAGTGGTGCAGACAACGGTCACTCTGGGATCAGGAATGGAATAGTGACGAGTCTCGATTTTGTTTAGGCATGCACGATGGTCGTGCCAGGGTTAGAAGGCGACGTGGTGAAAGGAGGAATCCACAGTTTTTTGTTGAAAGACATGTTCATCACACTGTTGGAGTTATGGTTTTTGGTGCTATAGCTTATGGTTCCAGGTCACCTTTAATCTTCATCAGAGGTAACATGAACGCGCAGCGTTATATCCACGAAGTTCTAGAACCCCATCTTTTACCCTATCTTGACACCCAAAAAAGAAATAGGTTGCGCCACCTATTACGAATTTACATTTTAATTTGCTGAGCTCCCGGTAGTTCCTTCTTATAATCGTTTCTGTCTTATACATATATCATTGAGGATTTACTTCATAAATTTCCGCCAGAAATAAAATTCATTGGAACGATTAAGAGAAATCGGTTTATTATTTTGTAACTATTATTACGATGGAGTATTACTGGAGCGATAAATTTAATATTGGAATGCAGAGAGATATCTAAATTAAGCGCTGCTAGCTTGATAGCCCATAGTATTGAGATCAAATATATCAATAAATACTTTCCGTCTGGTATCCATATGAGATATAGGGTTTCTCAGTTAGAAAAATATTGAAGTATTTTTCCCTGAAATACTGCAGAATACTTAGAGTACTGCTTTTTAGTGATAAATCCAAATTAGGGTGCATACAGGACCGGCACTTTTGTCGTCATCTTTATAAACGCGTTCGGTCATTTATCACATGAATCAGTCTTACGTAACGATATAAATCAAACTTTTTCCACATCCTTACTCCTTATACTTCGAAAAAAATCATGCAGTCAAAAAATACGGCAGATCTTTCCTATATCAAATCACATTCTCTATGAAAATAACATGATCAAACGAACTTACCTGTAAGTGATGTTCGATCTTAATTATGTGAAGTCCTCGTCGAAGTAAATAGCTCCTCCACTCCCTCTGTATCACCCAATTGTTGCTGCAACTTGGCTTTGAAGAAAATGAAGGTTTATAGGAGGCCAGAGGGGAGGAAGTTAGGGAGATGGGGCGCGGCGCCGCTTTCCTTCGCTGCGTGCGCGCTCTGAAATCATGGCGAATGGGTACTACTACGAGGGTACTACGATATGTATTCTAAATATTTACTTCGACGAGGATGGAACATAATTAATAATATCCTTCATAAATGATGGTTACCAGCTTAGCTGTTATATGCGATAATATAAGTACCTATAATTTTGACATCTAGTTTCTCGAAAAATGTTGAACAAATTTCATGGGATCAAAATGCTGGAGAATTTCAAGCTGTACAAAAATTGGCCTATCGCTTTTTTACGTAGATTGATACTTTACGGCACGAAATGACTGAGCGCATTTCTTAAACTAGCAGGTAAAACTCCAACCAAATATCTATAGCCAGATCAATATTTTAACTATAATATACTGTAATTTATAACACTTGAAACTAATTTATGACAAATTTATAACTACGTGGATTCAATCTTAACTCCGCGATCGCTATCCACTAGCTTGGCCGCGTCCATAGACTCGACTATGACTGCCTCGTTCCGCCATCTGGTCGGATATTTACGTCCATAACGATGAGTCCAGAAACATTCCAGCGTTTTCCAGGTCAAGTCGAGAACTTCGATGGAAGTATTATAGATGGCGGCAGATTCATCTTCAGACGCGTCGAATACTCGCGATGGCGTCGCGTACGGTCCAGAATGCAAGCACGCTCCATATATGGTCGCGTAATTTTGATTGCCCACCGTCGACAACGCGCTCCACTCCACCCAAAGAAATAATGACTGTGAAGCCATATTCTATCGATATGAATAAAAAAGTTGTTGCACTTATTGCAAAGCTTTATACTCCAAATTGCCCTATGTCCCGCCCCAAAAAACCATTTAATGATGTTTGTATATATATACAGGGTGTTTCAGTTTATTGTTTCATAACTTTAAGATTTGATAGAACTTTTAAAATTAATGCATAAAGTCTATATAAACATGGGTCGAAAAATGCGTGGCTTCCGAAATACAGGGTGTTTAAATTTACTTTCTAAAATAGTTTTTTTTAAATATTTCGAACAATATTTGATATATAACAGTGAAAATTGGTACCCAAGGGTTTTTTGGTACGACCAAACGAACCATGGGCATAGTTTTACTGTAGCCGCTAGAGGGCGCTCTCTACTGTACCTGTAGTGTATTAAAATGACCGAAAATTTTTTCTTAGTGCAATTTTTTGCTTTTTGAATAAAAAAACTAATTCTCCGCACTTTTCAACATAAAAAAACTCTCCTATGAGTTTTCGTTATAGTTAGTTGTTTTTGAGATATTTCGATTTTTAAGGTCCGATGCATTTTTAATTATTTATGGGAAAATAATATTCTTGGATTTGGGCATTACAAGCCATTAAGATGATCGTTTAGATTGTGTTTTTAAACACAGCAATAATTCCTAACTCCAAAAAACACAAAAAGCAGAATATTAATTTGTTTAATTTTCCAATATTATTTTTAACAAATTAAATTAATTATTTACAACTAAAATGCTATTGGATAGTTAGGACAAACATACAAAATCTAAAGTAGTTGTTCGAAATGTAAACCCAATTGTTCAATACACAATTCACATCTACAAATGATCGAACGTGATATAGCATTATTCAAATAAGGCCTAATTTCATCACATGCATTCCTGATTCTGTCTATTAGCATATCTCTTGCGGTTACGGGAGTCTGGTACACTTTTTCTTTTAGAAATCTCCACACAAAGAAATCTAATGGAGTTAGGTCAGGGGATCGTGGAAGCCAGGCGACTGGTCCTCCACGGCCGATCCATCTTTCTGGATAATTTTCGTCCAGCCAGTTTCTAACTATTCTCGAATAATGAGCTGGACAACCATCAAGCTGGAACCAGGCCAATCTTCTTAAATCTAACATAACATCATCCCACATATTTGCATGTTCAGCCTTTAAAAATTCCAAGAAGGTCGCAGCATTTAACCTTGCAGGCAAAAGGTAGGGTCCAAATAGTCGATTACGGTAGATACCAATCCACACGTTCACACTAAATTCATGCTGAAAATTTCTTTCCCGAACTGCATGCGGATTTTCATGCGACCAAATATGTTGATTATGAAAATTTACCACTCCACGTCTAGTGAAGCATGACTCATCGGTCCATAAAGCGTTACTTAAAAACTCCCTATTATTATCAGTTTTATCGATGATCCACTGACAAAATGTGATTCTTCGTTCTCCGTCCCCTGGCTGTAGTCCTTGCACAGGTTGCAAATGGTAAGGAACGTCTATGGTCATTTCTAAGAACACGGTGAACATGGCTTGATGAAATTCCCAAGGCACCAGAAACTCTCGTAACACTTGTGGTCGGATCTCTATCAAACTCACGCAGAATCATACGGGTAAGTCTGCGGTGACGAACATTTATGTTTTGATCCCTTTGGAGATTTGCAAAACCATTTTCAATTATTTGGCGATGCACTCTTACAAATACTGAGCGAGTTGGATGTCGTCTGTTTGGAAATCTTCGTGCGTATTCTCTGGCTGCTTCTGCTGCGTTTCCATTTACAAAGCCATACACAAAATGAATATCCGCTAACTCGTGATTGGAGAATAAAAATGGCATTTTTATAAAACTTACAAAAAAAAACAGGTAAAAGAAACTAAATTTCGTGCATTCACAATTGCAAAAAAACGTTTCAGGTTTCAACAGACAACAAATCTAACTGTCAACTAATTGACGTTTAACCTTATTCTGCTTTAAATTTCAAAAATATTTGCAGGCACAGCCTACTTCTACAAATTATCGAGATACTGACTTTTTAACATTATTTTATCATAAATGATTAAAAATGCATCGAACCTTAAAAATCGAAATATCTCAAAAACGGCTAACTATAACGAAAATTCACAAGAGAGCTTTTTTATGTTGAAAAGTGCGAAGAATCAGTTTTTTTTATTCAAAAAGCAAAAAATTGCACTAAGATAAATTTTCGGTCATTTTAATACACTACAGGTACAGT